TCCTACTCTGCCATGCCAATGAAAACCAGAACTGCTGTAAATCAGTAATCTTTTCCTTCTTGTGTACCAGCTGAAAAGAACGTGGAAAGCCCTTAATGGCAAAGAAGGCTCCAGCTGAGGCTGCAGTACCGTCCACAGCCATCAGTGTTAATCAGTCAAAAAGCACTAAAAAAAAAAATCAGTAACCAATCACTAAAAAAACCAAAAATACAACAGTCTACCTGTGGGAGATTGAATACTACAAGCCAAGACCTGCAGGCCCCTGACGCTTGGTGTGCAAAGGGTAATGCTGTGCTCTGGAGAAATTCAGGGTTAATGGTACTTTCTGACAAGGCAGCTCTGGGTTAAGATGCAGCATGAGGTGCCTGCACACACTGGCCATCACCAGGAGAGTAATTTGGCCTCTTGGCCAGCTCTAGCTGCTGGCACAGGTGATGTTGCGTCTTACCCGCTCCAGGTCCTGACGGAGGTGTGTGAAGAGCTGCAGCCTTCGGAACAGAACGTCCTGTTCCCGTTTAGCCAGATTGTCCTCTTCATCCTTCTTTGGGGTAATCAAAGGCTTATTGAAGTTGGCTTTTCTCTTCAGCTTCCAGTACTGGTAAAGGAATTCCACCGGCTCCTCAGGCAGCAGCAGCACTTTCGCCACTTCCAAAGACTCAACAAACGTATAGAACTCATCCTCCAGCTGCTGAAGCTTTTGCTTGCGTAGGCTGACTCTGTGGGCCTCCTCCTGGTTTTGATCCATGCTGTGGAAAGGGTCAATGCAGGCAGGAAGAGAGCTGTCCTGAATCCCCTTCTCCTGAGCTGGGCTTTTATCTGAAATCTCCTCGTCAGCTTTCTTGGTGGAGCTGTGTTTGGGACAGTAGGACTTGAACTTCACTTCATCGTTCTCTGCCAATATGGTCTTCATCTCCAAGCCACGGTCAAATGCACAGGTGACGTGAAAGGCTGTTCTGCAGTTCTTCACTGAACACTACAGAAATTAGATTAAAGATAACCAAATAAATATCAAGTTAAGAAGCCACACTGCCTAAAACCCATTCAAGCAGCCAGGGCTGCTTTGGAAGAAGAACGCTGTTACCATGTTCTGCTTCTAAGCTGCACACACTTCCTTGTTCCTTTTTAATTAGGTTTATGACTTAGTGCTTTCAGGTCAGGAAAGGATCAAGTGGCCCAGAGGGACAGGAGTGGTTAACCTCTCACAGCCCCATCCTGCTATTCCATAACCAGCAAAGCCACAAAAGGAGCGGTCCTACTGACACCGGAGCCACTCATGTACGGCAGCGCTATCCAAGGGAAACTGTTCCCCCTTGGACTGTGCCAGTGTGAGGGGGAAAAACATCTTGGTGACTCCAGGTCAGTCTGAGACTTTTAATTAAAAGTCCTTCCTAGCACCTTTTGCTACACAAAAGGCCTCTACTGAGAGGCATTTTTTTTTCTTCTGTTATGAGGAGGAGAACAGGAAATTCAATTTTTTGTCGTTTTTCTTGCCTCCCAGTGAACCCAGCCATCATGGAGTGATGGGCACTAGTTCAGCTGATTTGGGACTTCATTTCTATCATATCTAACTTCCTTTTGCAAAATGCTGTCATAGCTATTGCCAGCCACCAGCTGAAAGGTTTAAATATATATATATAAGTATACACACACATACATGTTTGTATCTGCTTACACCTCTGCCTCCAGTGAAGAGGATTTAAAGTGGACATGATTATTAGTGCTCCTAACTAGGGAACAAAACTATGCTTAACCCAAGCCATTGACCCTGAAAGAGCAACACACTGCACTAGGATGTTTATACAGCACTTTGTAAAGAAGCCAAATTTCTCTCTCCTCTGGGTTTTCCTGCCCAGGTTGATTCAGCAGCCAGATGGCTTATAAAGGTACAGCAGGGTTTAAACTGCACAAGTTTCAAATGAACAGTCTTTAATAAAATCAACATATAAAAGGAATTAAAAAATACCAAAGCACCTTTTGCCCTTTACTCTCCTACTAACTAAATAGTGCAGAAACATCCCAAATGGAACACCAAGCAGTACAGAGGAATACTTTAGCCATAATTAGCTCTTATTGCAGCCCAGGTTTTAATTTGGAGAAGAGGGGAAAACCTAACTCATCAGAAAGAAATCTGCTGAACCTGGGAGAATATGCAGTCTTGTTTTTTCCCAGCTTATGGCAGGAGCTATCTTCCCAGCCTGACACACACTTTCTCAGCTTTCCTAATTGTTGTGCACATCTCAGAACCTGGTCTGGAGAACAGAACAGAACAGTTTCAACTACGTAACAGTGGCCAAAAGGAAGGGGACGGCTCTGCAAGGAGGTACCATGACTGCAAATTTATATGCTGTGGACAGATTTATTTTCTCTAGTTAAAGTTTTGTATTTCAGACATTCCTTACATGGAAGCAGATTCCTAGGTTTCACTGGAACTACTGCTGCATTGCTGGTCTTACAGCTCTTTCTGGCATCCTCATCAAATGACTTGGAGCAGGGGGGAAAAGGGAAATGGATATAAACTAATTTCAGAGTAGTGTGGGATTTGAGCAATTTGGGTGCCTTAATGCTGGTCCGACCACCATGGATCCCGTAACGTCAGGCTAGACCCCAAAAAGAAAGGGTTCTACTTCAGCCTCTTTATGAGATTGTACTATCAACCTCTCTGTCTCAGGGAGCTTCCTAAGGATCATTTTGCTCAAGTTGTGGAGGTGCTCTGAGGGTGAAGAGCATCACCACAACAACTAAGCTACATCTTACTGTCTTCTTCTACACAATCACAACACTGCCCCAAAGGGTCACCTGTCCTCACACTCCCTCATCATTTGTTCTCAAATAAAGGAGATCAAAGTTTTTCCTGGTGTCTCAGGAAACCAAATACTCCCTCTTTCAAAAACCTGAGACTTGGAAATGTGTTTTCTCAATCTTTCTAGACTTTAAAATTGTTCTTAAAAGGATTGTTTACCATTTCTGAGTGATCTTCCACTGTAAAGGATCTGCAGGTGCTTTAATGGCAACAACCCAATGTAACTATGCACGTGAAATGACACTGCCCAGTCTGAAATGCTCTGCTACAGATCAGTTCAGTTATTTAACAGTCACAGTTCACAGGCTTTGGTTAGAAAAGCTGAACCCAAATCCAACTGAAACTGCAGAGAGAATTCAAAAGGCAGGCCATGAGATAAACGGGCACAGGCCCACTAATGTGAGTTGTTGGTATCAAACAGTTTAGAAGTCACTAAACAGGGACTAGCAGATAGATTTTAGTATTCAGGTTTCATTTTCCCATGTGGTGTATCACAGAAATATATTATTTTGTCCTGAACAACATTTAAGTTTTATTTCAATGTAGTAATAAAAGTATTAGCCTATCAACAAATTAGGAACTCTTCTGGGATGACCTGGCTATTATTATTAAAACTTTACTAGAAAGTAAAAGTGCACTAAAACTCAAAGCCCTTTGTGTGTCCTTGTGAAGTCCACAGTAACAACATTTCATTATATACTAAAAATTTAGAAAAACCCCACAGGATATTTGTATGATTAAATTACCTGTATAGAAGCTCCAACTTTTTCATTACAAAGGCTGCACACCAGTGCCCATCTACTGCTGGGAATGTGAGAAACTTTTGTGATGGGCTCCATTTTTTCTGGGCTTCCAATGCTCACCTGAGAGAAAAAAGGTTAAAAAACAGTGACTATGACACTGTTAACTGGAAAGAGAAACAATTTTATCAAAGAAATCAAATTCACTGTGTGCATATGCAAACTTAGTGTGTTCCAAATTCCTCAGTTTATAAAGAACTAAAATTCTTTTTTTTTAAAGTTTCTCACTTCATGAGCAAACCAGTTTCAAGGTCAAGCCCATCAATTTAAGATTATCATACAAGATGAATACTGTGATTATGAGAACGTGCAGGAATTTTCACTGTCACATCCAAACCTTCCTGATTCACTTTCACAGTTCCACTTACAAAATGAAACCGTACCTTGTGTCCTTGTTAAATGAGTTTTGCCAGCAGAAAAGGCCTCATTTCCCAAAGCCTTTCTTAATTACTTTCTTTACTGATGACGCATCATCCCGCCAGACTCCACATTTAACCAAAATTCTTTTAAACTGCCTTCCTAAGTCCCGCTAAACCTGCACTACGCACCTTGAAGCAAAACTCCCAGAGGATCAGCACGTACCTCTGGAATCCACAGAGCACAGCTAACATGCACCCACTTGGTGCCACTCCGGGTTGGCTTCATGGCACCGCCCTTCTTGGGACACAGGAGGCACTTGGGCTGAACGCCCAGCGCGCAGGTCCTGCACAGCCAGCTACCTTCTGGCACCTTCAGGATCCCGTAACATGCCTGCATTCCCACATACAGCAAAGGGGAAAAAGAAACACAAAGGAAAAAACATTCATTACTGGTGTTTCTTAGCTGTTTAAACGCAGCCTCTCAAAATTATTTTATTCAGAGGGAAAAGTGCAGAACGGCGATTTGAGATCACGCTTTTCAGAAGACTGCATCTTTATGGAGACCTCTACCCAAATTACTGTCAGCTTTAGTGCACTTAAGTTTCAGGTTTGATGTGATCAGAAAACCACTACAGGTCTAAAAACATCTGCTTTCCTCTGCGTATCTCACAGGGTAGGCACTTGTACCTTAGGCTTGGTTCTTTATCATTAGTACAAATGCATTAAATAATGAACATGCAAGAAAATGTGTTTCCTGCTCACCAGACAACACAGAATGACAACACAAATTTGTTAAAACTGGGAAGGAAGGACAGGTTGATAGGAAGGCATCTGCCAGAGTAAGAAGCATCCATGGAAACAGATATGCTAAAACTGTCTCTCTTCTTTCATGTAAGAAAACTGCCACAAAAAGGCGTCACATAGTGGTGCTTCCTTAGGTTGGCTCAGTAGGTTCTCTATTAAATTATCTGTAATTTAATGGAGAATATCTCTATTAAATTATCTATTAAATATAAATCTCTATTAAGTGATCTGTAATAAATCCTACTTGTGTCCCTACTGACTGCCTTTTTTCCCCTCCCTGCTGAGCCTAAGCTGCTGATCCTAGAGGTGTGTTAGCCCCAGAACTGCACAAGGAGAGGAAAATACAGGAAAAGACGTGACCAGGTGAGAATGCACAGTGTACGTTTTGGGGAGGGCAATTCCTCCCCTTACAGCTTCCTCCACACATGCACAATACCACTTTTAACCTTCTTAGCATGACATTTCTAGAATTACTCTTTCTTAATTACATCATTTCTGAATTCATCCCATTGCTCAACGGCGAACCCTGCCACAACTTAACAGACTGATGTCTGTCACTGGTATAAAAAAAAATTCCAACCTGTTATCTTCAGTGGTTTGAAAAAGATTCTGTCACCACCAAAAGATTGGTCTGCCATACCTGGTGCACACAAATATTGCATTTGTCACAGAACACCATTTCATTGCCGTCTTCTCCATCTGGAGACTGACAGACGTCACAGACAACATCTTCGTCATATTCGATCCCGAGTCCTTCTTCTGTCTCGATAGCGTGATTCATGTTGTCATAGCAGCGTTGTTCAAACTCCTCCATGACCCTTTCCATCATGTACTCATCCAGCTCAGGCATCCCTGGAAGACAGGAGTTGTTTATTAATGGTGATAACCATCGCCATGCACAACTCCACCTTCTTTTTTAGCAGCTCAGTAGATACAGCCAACCCCCACACGTACACATTTCATTCCTAGAAAATCATGCCTATTCCAGCATGAATCAGGGAAACTATAAAAAAAAGTCAAAGTTTTTTAAATGTATTAAAGTAACAGAAGTGGAGTATCCAAATCTCTCAAAATTCTGACAAAACCTTCCATGAACTGATTTTGGCTTCCTGGTATTGTTCTCATTTTTCCTTCTGGGACAGCACCATCTATGGCTTTTGCTCCAATTTTGCCACTCAGATGTTGTCTCTTTGTTTAAAGTTTTTTGAACCGAAAGTGATGGGGCAGGGAGAGGAAAACAATACCAAAATCTGCTGCGATACTTGGCACAAACTTGCAGTTTCTAACATCAGCTGTTGGTTTATCACAAGTTCCAGCTCAACAGGGTGCAACCCCAACTGGGGTCTCCTGGAAAAAATATCTATCACAGAAATTGCAAGAAAAGTTACCAAAAAACAGCACAGTGCTGCTGGCTTCTATCTCCCACTTGCTGTGGCAAGGAGCTGGCTGTAATGCTTCCAAACTGGTACTACACAAACCTCTCCCACAAAATCACGCCACACAAACACCTGTGAAACCAAGCAAGTTCTGCTACTGCAAAGAATCACCTTCCTTTTGCAAGGTTGGTTTAGCACAAGAATTTCCATAGACTTAAATCACTCCCCCCAGTTTATATACTGGGCATGATGTCCTGTGGTGTGGAATATCCCTTTGGTCAGTTTGAGTCACCTGTCTCAGAGTTACTCCCTCAGTGTTTCTTTTGCAAACCTCCTCACTGGCAGAGCATGAGACAAGAAAAAAGTCCTTGACTTAGCATAAACATGACCTAGCAACAACCAAAACATCAGCGTGTTATCAACACCATCCTCATTCCAAATCCAAACCACAGGCAGAAATTAACTCTATCCCAGCTTAAACCAGGACAGATGTACAGGAGATGGCAACTTCACAATGGGTATTTAACAAACACTCCTTTTGGCTCTCCCTGTCAATAACTGAGCCACAAATTCCACAAAACAAGTGTTTTTTATTAAAAACCTCTCTAGCTCCCCCTAATCAGAAGACAAATACTCCACAAAAGTACTTCCAGCTTTCCTTACTGACAGGTAAATCCTTGTGGCAGAGATCAGTGCATCCCACACTACCCAAACTGAGCAGCTGAAAGATAGTAAGAGGGAACATCCCAAATCCTAATAAGAGAGAGTAAATCCTGATAAAAGAGAGTGAATTTTGCCCTGCAGGCCAGAACTACTGCACTAGCAAAGCAGATGATGGCAGGTTTTACACCGGTTTGCAACTGAACTGTAGCCTCATAAATCCTATGGCTTTTTAAGTTTTTGGGAGCAACTGAGGTAAGACTGGGGGTGAGATCGAGGTGTACGGGGGATGTCCTGAGCTCAGGGACACCTGAGCAGCAGCGCCAATCCTCACCAGGATGCAGAAGCCCTCAGCAGCCAACCTGGAGAGGAGCAGGCAGTACTGAGAGCATCTGAGGGAGATTTAAAAGCAGCAAACAGACTCAGTAGCAAGTAAGGAAGAGTAAAGAGAATCCTTTCAGATCCAACCTTATTAGCACACCAGTTTAAAGCTTCCTCAGCCATGGTGTTGACAGGCCATAAAGCTCGATCCCCTGCAGGTGCAGGAGTCACTGAATCAGCCATTTTCGGAGGCCTCCAGCAAGAGGAGGCTTCCAGCAGGCACGGCTCTGCAGGACACAGGCTGCCAGGAATGCCTGGCAGGGGAGCACCTCTCTTTGTGAGGCTGGGACCGACAAAGAGTTTGCAGAAGGTGTGCCATGGCTGAAGAGCTGTGTTGCCAGGTGAAGGAGATCCAGGAGGAACTGAACAGGCTGTGTAGCATTCAAGCAGACGAGAAATAGATTGACTGGTTATTTTCGGAGGTGTTACAGTCTCGAGACTCTTGGGAGTTGTGACGGGTTGAAATGTTATTAATGTCTTAAACACTGTCAAATAACAGAAAGAACTACAAGGAAGCAACTGCCTGTCTGGGACCACTGAAACCTGACTGGAATTTGGACTGTGAAGGGGGACTTGAGATAAGACTATTGTCTAATCATCTCAGCTCTGAGGTGAAGTAAACAAGGCATAGGGGGTGGTAGAGGTGAAAGGTTTTGGGGGTGTGATGGTGAAATCTCTCCACACCAAACCAAAGGAGTAACACCCTCCTCAACCTCTGGGAAGGCCATGTACACACAGGACACTCATGTGAGAGGCAGCTGAGAAGGGACCATAAACCATCAAAGACACCCGAAGTGTCCCCCAACTCATTCCTGAGGCCTTCTACCACCAGAGAACTACACATGATTCAAGTGAAGCAACAAATCCAGAGCCTGCTGCAAGAGACTGCAAAGCTTCCCCTCATCCCCAGGGGAGGTGCCTGGGTATATCCCAAACATACATTAATCCACTGAACTCTGTGTTTTGGGGGGCCCTCACCACCAAGAAGACCAGAAGGATTGGACTGACGGGATGCCACAGGGTTCCATGGAATGGAATAAACAGGTAATCAGTAAGTAAGGTCCCCTGGGAAAATGATTTCACATGTGCTTGGGTCCATCAGCACTGGTCACATTTAAACATCATCTCCTAAGGGCATTGGAACAGCAATTCCCAAATGTTGGAAGTCAAGCAGGCAACGCAGAAGGCTGACTTGACTGAGTAGGAGTCCTCTCTTGGACAGAAGGCGAGAAAGGAAGGTGCATGTTCAGTGGAAGGAAGGTCAAGTGACGTGAAGAATAAAGAGATCCTGCTTACCACTGTAGGGAGAAAATTCGTGTGGCCCTTTAAAGCTCAGCTGTTCAGTGTGTCATGTGCAGCATGTACTTTTAAAGGTTATGCTAGTGTAGCAGAATGGCCACCACAGGGCTCCTTGAAGAGGTGCAAATCTGCTCGAGGAACAGCCCCTCTTGTGCTGCTCATACCCCAGTGTAACACCGTGGGAGCTCTCCTCTGCTTTTGGCAAAAGACAGACAGACTGGATAGATGGATATCAAACAAGCTTTGAGGAAAGCTAAGGGATCTTGCTGTGGCTGTTTTCCTGAAGACAGCTGGAAAGGTAAGCTAAACTCTGGAATCGTAACTGAAATCCTCTAAGCCCATCACTAAACTTGAGCAGGACTGATGTGAGATCTGGAAAAAAGACCTGGTTAAGAGACCAGGTCCAGACTGGGTCATCTGTTTCTTTCATGTGTGGGTTTAAAAAGGAGAAATAGCTGTAAATGGTCACACCAGTTTTTCAGCCGTGTCACGTATGTGCTACAGCCTGGTAAAACTAAATGTTTGACTAAACTGTAACCCAAAGCAGGGAACTGCCAAAATGCCAGAACAAAACTAGCAGTGTTCACTAACGTGTCTCAACCGCTTCCATCTGGGACAGCATCATTTCCCTTATCCAAACAATCTGGTGGAAGTTCTGTGCTGACCTAACATCCCATTCAGTTCCACTGAAATCCTCTCATGAAGCACACACCTTACCAAAGAAACCTTCCTGTTCTTGCCCCTCTCCCCTGTCCTGTCCCACACAAACCACTCTGTAGAGAACAGAACAGCTGCTCCCCTGTGACAGCTCCTTCTCCTCCTCTGGAACTAGAGCACACGATCACAGTGAGGTCTAGCAATTTCCTCCAGCAAATCACTCAAGAATTCCTTATTGTCTTATTCCTTGTGCCATTCAGCTAATGTAGGTTCTCTAAAACTCCCAAGACTCATCATCTTGCCTTCTCCACACTGAACACCACTAGCTAAAAAGATGATACAGATTTGTGCTGAAGATAAAAACAAATAAGCAGGACTACCTGGAAAAACTATCAGAATGGTCTATCTGATGTTCTCTTTGAGAACTTGGATGGAGAAATGGGAACTTTGTCAGAATTCTTTTGTGAAAGGGAAAGCAGCAGAATAAAAAAAAACAACGTGGGGCCAGATTAAGACCGGGTCTAAGCAGATACAATGGAGCAGTTATGAAGGCATCGATCTCAGGGCTTAATCACATCAGGTCTGATTTCCTGTGGCTACCCCAACTCATGTGATCACTATTTCCTCACACCTCTACCATCTCTTCCTACTGCTGCCCTTCCTAAAATTATTTTCAAGACTGCCAGCTTTAAAAAGCAAAAAGAAGGCAACAAAACATTCGCTGCTCACCCATTTCTCTGAATTCTTCATTGGCAAGTTGCAACCACGCTACATCCACGTCATTGAGATCGTAGCGACACGTGCTGTCCGCCAAGGTTCGAATGTCGACATAGCCCAGCTCTGGAGGCTCCGAACCCGAGGAGACGATGTACTTCCTGGGACGAGTAAAGGTGACGGCTTTTGTCTCGGACACAATCCTGGAACAGACAGACAAGCAGACATGAGGTGTGCTGGGTTGCTGAGAGGTTTGTTTCCAGAGAATTCACAATGCCTCAGTCTAAGTGACCAACAACCATCAGAGCATCTATCTAACCATCCCAGCAATCACCTGGCACCACTGAGATCAGAAAACAGTACCATGCACTTCCATAACAGATTGGTGGTATTATAAGAACAGGAGTTGTCTAGAAATCCAATTCATTACCAGCATTCTTAAGTATTAGAGTATTACTCTAATAAGTATTAGTATTACTCTTATCTGAAATTCACACTTGTTCAAAGCTAAAGCAGGAACACTGTATTTACACAGTGATAGCTGCTATACACACAGATGTTAAACTCTGGTTTAAGTCTTTTTTTTAAATCAATCTGTTTAACCACAGTACTGAGAACAAGAAGATTCAAGAAAAAAAGTAGTATTTCCAACCGTCTCAGTCGAAGACATTGCACCTTCTCTTAGTTAACAGCATGAACTGAAATTCCGTTTGGATGGAAATCCCCTCACGACATAACCCTGGTACCTCCAGGAGCAACAGGCCATGCTGCCAAATGTCTGCCTCCTGCAGTACCAGTGGAGGTGATTTTTTTGTTGTGCTAGATCTACAAGGGAGGAGATTGTACCACTGTGTGGCTGCAACTGTGTGCTGGAAACAATCTAAGCTCCACAATAAGCAGGACATCTCCCCCATCTGAGGTCCAATGTGTTAACTCCTCCTCCTAGCAGAAGAAACTTATCTGCCACTATTGTATTTGCACAAACAGATCTCAGTAAATCCTCAGCCTATTTCAGTCTTCTGCACAGTACTAAAACTTCTCTCTCTAGATTATTTCAGATAATGAACAGAAATGGTAAGCAAGAGCCAAATGATGAATTTGGGGCTTCTGAGGTGCTGGGAAAAAATACAAATGTGAATGACCTTGCCAGCCTAACTGCACTCCCTAAACTGTTTCTGGTCACACTGCATGGTCTTAAAATATCACAGACTACTGCATCTTCCCAGATGTACTTTCAACTGGGCACTGCTCTCCAAATCTTCTATATCATAAATTCCTTCCTGAGTCCCTCTCCATGTGGAAATCATAACCTCTGGGCAGCACCCTGCACATGCTGTCTAAACATCATGGTAGTGTCACAGAAGGAACAAGCGCAGCTACTCTGACCTCAAAACAAACCCCTTTCCTGGCATTATTTCTGTGATAGAAAGAAGTTAAAAAAACCCCAAAAAACCCTTACTACATACTGAAAACCATTCAACTGAATTATCCATGGGACCACATGCTTACAGTGAATCTCCAAACAGCCTCAGTCCTTTCCCCTGCTCTGCACTTACCAGTCACTACAAGGCCGAACCTTTTATTTGCTGTTATGTATCTCGGTAGCATCAGCTGCCCGTACAGTCCTGGCTTCTGTCCTACACCAGCTATGATTTGTCTATTGCTTATTCAATGTACAGAGCACCCCCTTCCCTCCCAAAGTTAGGCACAGAACAGCTCCTGCACTCCAGCACCACCATGGCAGGGCTCTCCGAGTCTTCTGAGTGGGAGCAAAGAGGACAATAATCAGCCATTGGAGGGCCATTCTGACCAGCAGGTGCTCAGCAGGAGTACAGCAAATAGTTCAGCAGCTAAAAAAGGACTTAGGTGCCTGCTGTGCTGACACCTAGAACTGCGGGTGCCTCCTCTCCCTATCCTCTAATATCTTAAATTTGGAGCAATGTATCTGTCGGCCTTTGGCAGAGCAAAGCTCTCTCCCAGGCAAGTACCTGGATCTGATACGGTCACCAAACCACCTCCCTGACAGATACCCGGTGGGAATCCCCTGGGAGGTTTCCCTATGTTCAAGTTCACAGGTCTCCCATCCCTCCACAGCCTCGGGAGATGCTTGAAAGAGAAATCAGTGAGGGGTAGGCAATGTGAGTACATGCAACACGACTGTGCATCTCTGCAGGGACTGGGTGAGGTCAGCGTGGAAGAGGGAAATGCTTTGTTCCCATGTTCTGAACTGCAGAGCAGAGGGGAAAATGCTGAGTTCTCCTTGGAGCTCCAGGTCCAATCCTTCACAATAAGGTCAGGGTTTACCCGATGCGCAGGCAAGTTCCTGATTGTGCAGACCTAGTGGGGCTGTGTAGAGGTCTGCAGGTTGCTGCACACAACACAAACAACACTAACAAACATTCCCGTAGCCCCTCTAATCCAAGCTGACAGATGCAAACCTGACAGAAGCAGTGTAGCATCATCACAAATTTTTTGCTGTTTATCAGGCTGTTCTGGTCCCACCAGCAGTGGCGGGTCATTTGGTAATGCCTTAGGGGCCAACCTGGACTCAAAGAGACCTAGTATGATTAAATGGTAAAAATCTGTGTTCTTACATTCTCCAACTCCATCCCAATTAAGCATAAAATAGGATGCAGCACACTCCCACCCTTCCTTTAATTTGAAACAGGAAACAGTATCTAAGTGTAACAAACAAGGTAAGGAAAATAAGGGTTTCTTGGATAAGAGCTAGAATGTCTCACATTATTTGGTTACATGCACACCGGGATGGTTCTTAAAACAGATGAAATGTTGTACAACAATCTGTTTCCTAGGTTAGTAAATGAAATAAAAAATAAAAAAACCCACCACAAAAAACCCAGGAAAACAAAATAAATGCCATATTTTCTCTAGCCCTTAAGCTTGGTTTTCCATATGTTCCATGAAAGCAATCTATGGCTTGGAACTAAGAACAGAGAGCACCACAAAAGAGCTCTTCCAGCAACGATGAGTGAGCTGAGGTTTGGACTTAAAAACAGAAGATATTTTTAAGGTTCTGTCATCACACTCCCATGCTAACATAATGCCAAAATCGGTTCTCTGACATTTCACACAGGCAGAACAGGCCTGACTTTTGACTTCTCTGACCATTCAAAAAGCTGAGGCAGGTTGCTCTTTGTCTTCAAGAACCAACACCTTCCTAGCTAGGCACTCAGGAAGTCAAGGCAAGGTAGGGCACAAGCTGCCAGCATAAACGTGTAGGTATTTGTTTACATTCCTCCAAACTATACCTGGCTACTGGTTCTGGGATGGTCCCTGGGCTAACTGGCACCTGAACTCCCTTTTCCCACTCCTGCCTCCAGGGATCTGCCAGCACATAGTATTCATCAGGGTTCAGCTGGAAGGAGTCATGTAACTTCATGGCAGTGATCAGGTCCGTTCTGAACACCTGCAAAGAGAGTGACCAAGAGAGAAAAACAGAGACACTGACATTTGATATTTACACTCTACGATTCACAGCTTCAGGGTAACCATGGAGCACGGCGTGTAACAAGGTCACTGTACCAACAGTGCACTAACCCAGCCCACTGCAGGACAGGAGTTTGGCTTCATGGCAGGGAAGGGGGGTGGCTGAAGGCACGAATCCTGACAGGGTAACTTCCAGCTAACTCCACTAGAGGTCCTGGCACTCCCCCTGCACTGGAGACATAACACTAAAAGGTGTTTCCTACTTTCACCTCCACTTTGGCTGCAATAAAAGCTGCAGGAGCAGATGAGTTGTGAAACAGCAGCAGAAGGAAGATCCAATTTTGTTCCAAAGTCTTTTGGTTTTGTGTTTTTTTTTTTAATTATTGGAGCTCTGACTAATCCTAAAACATTCTAGAAATTCCCTGTGGCAGAAATCGAGGCATGCTTCCACCATGACCAGCTGCGAGAGGAAATTCTAAGGAGATGACTCTTTGTGTAAGTATTTAAAAAAACAATCCAAAAGACAAAATAAGACCCAAACTGGACTTCTGGTGGCAGCTCATCCCGTTCAGCACAAGTGCCTGTTATTCTATCAGCTACAGACACCTCTGTCATAGCTGTAATTTTACTCTGCCTTGGCAAAGGCATCCAGCTCTAAAGCGAGCAGGATGTTTGGCAACTTTTGGGCCAGCAGCCGTGAATAATCAGCCCTGCTGTGTTCAACAAGCCACAGAATGAAATAAAAAGGGATTCACTCCTGCTGCAGGAATGCTGTGGCACTGCTGGGACAGCTTCAGCCTGACTGGCTACAGCCTGTCAGTGCTGCAGAAAGCCAAGGGTGCTGCTATCACAGGCATCCCAACTCAAGCCTGCACTTGCTGATACCAGCCCCAGCCCTCCCCACCCTGCTCCCCCCAAAAAGAAAGGCTGCTACAGGGCTCCAGCACCGCACTCCTCACCTCCACAACCCCTAATTCGTAGCTACGCAGTGCCACGTTCAAAGGAAAGGGTCAAAAAGCAACCAGGTGACAGAAAATAAGCTCCATCAGAACAAGAAGTCAGGCAACATCCTAAGAGCTTCCTGCAGACTTCTCAGTTTGTGGTGGTCAGAGTCAACATCCACTCAGCCCCACGTTGCAGTTATAGAGGAAAAGGTGGTTTACCAGTGCAGTGCTCTTAGGTCCTCTTATTAGGCTGCTTGGGGGGAAAGAGTGACCCACCCTCCCATCCCCAAACCAATGACGACACTGGTTAGCTCAGCTCCAGCCTGCTGTTTCATGGGGCTGAGGAGGAACCAGATGGATACAGAGCTAACTAGGCAGGCCTCCTCAAGGCAGCCATTTCTGTCACACACCTGAAAACCCCAGGATTTTGGGGAAGTATTTTAAGCAAACAGTGTATCTGATGGCTAATTATACTTCTGAAAAGATTTTCAAGTGTGATTTGCCTTACGACTCTGCACCATCTTGAAACCTTTCCTCCCTCCCAACACAGACATAACTATCCCCCTTCTGTCTCCCTATATTTCTGTTTCCACTCTGGTTTTGTCATAGAAACAGCACAAAATCATGACACTTATCTTAACATTTGTCTTGACATGCTCAGCAAAACTGCCAGCATTAAAAAGTAAATAATGATACTACCATATGAAGGGTGAATGTAGGTAATGAAATATAATGAAATATAATGAAATGTTTTAAACAATCCAGTTACAAGTCCTGTGAAGCTTCAATCAAGAAAGAAACGAAAAGTAAGCCACAAAGTAAACAGGCTCCCTAAACAAGCACAGCTGGCCAGGGGAATTCTGCACTTCTGAGTGACTTGAATTAAAGCAATCAAAAGTAAAATGAAAAGAAGACTAAAAATATAAAATGGGATGCAAACCTTGCTCAATCTCAGAGCCAAAATAACTCCAGCTCTTAGATAAATTTGTCACAAAACTCCCTCAGAAGCAAAGCTAAGGCAGCACCTGACAGCCAAGAAACTCCTTCCCAGGCCAGCTGCCCTGTGACACCGTTCTTTCTGCTCTAACTTCTGATGCAGAGTGCCTGGAGCAAAGCTGAGCTTACGGAAATGCTGGCTCTCAGAAGCACTGAGCACTTCAAAGCTAAAGGGTGAAACCCTGGCCACGCTGAAGTCAGTGGGAATTTTGCCACCAATTTCAATGAGCCCAGGATTTCACCCGGGGAGTTTTAACAAGTGTCACTTTTTCTGCCAGCGTGCTTCTCATCACAGCAGTGCGCTGTGGTGAGCAGGGACAGTGCACAGGCAGGGAGGGAGAGGAGAAAAGGCTGTGGAACAGAGTCGAAGGGAAGTACAAGAGAATTTCATCCAGACTGCAGAAACATGAGAGAACAGCATGAAAACTGCAAAGATTCTGACAAGAGAAGCAAGGTAAGGGAGAGAAGAAAACAGAAGCACACAAAAAACTTCAGCAAGACACATAATTATCTCAGATTAATTTCTTGATAGCCTTTCACGAGGTAGTTCTCAAAATCAGGTATAAGGGGCTACTTCTAGGGGATGCACAAAAGATAACTAAGGGAAACAAGGCTATCTCTAACAAGAATAAATTCACCAGGGATCTCCACATTCACCAAAAAAAAGAAAAAAAAAAAGTCTTTATTGGCCTACAATCAAAAATTAAGTTGGAAACCACCAGTACTAAGTGTAGTTCACACTGAACAATGAGTGGGATTCTCCTTGTGAAAACTCATCTCTGAGACTGAGGTATACTGTCATTAGGGAAATTAATAAAGAATGTTTTCCTCAACATCACTCGCTAATAAGAAATACATGTACTGGGCAAGTAAGTTAAATGAGGAATTCCATCTCCCAGAGCTAAGCTTCTAAAAAGTCTGCAGTGTAGTATTTGCCTGAAGACAGGGAGATTCAGCAAGAACATTTCCAAAGAACTGGATCACATTAGTGTGCTACTAACAGCTGATCCATCCTGGAAAGTTTAAAGACTTATTATCTCCCTTGATAGGATTTCTTCAAAGCATTAAGTGAGACAGAACTGTCAGGAATCAGATTCTACTTTGACAAGCACTTCAACAAAAATCACATACCAAGATCCAATACCAACTTATGAAATAAATGCACCTAATGTAAATTTCCACTGTTCACAAATCAAGCTACAAATAAACCCCAATGCCTAAAATAGTACAAGAAAGACTCTGCAGCTATGCTGAAAGGGTGTCAGACTACAACAAAATTCACAGATAGAAACTGGTGCTGGCAGTAGCTGTGCCAACAGCTGAACTCTCTAATCTTTGGGGAGGGAGGGGCATGTGGCAGCCAAAATGTAGCAAAATGAAAACGTAAATAGGAAGACATGGATCCATTACCAGAACGTGTATGTCTACACTGTGTGTATACATACTTTGACAGATGTAACAAAATGCAAATCAAATTCCAGAAGTACCTCAGAAGGTTTCCGATCTTCATCTCTGGAGCACGAAGTCCTACGATGTCGAGATCTGGAATGCTGAGACCAGGCAGACAGACCTAGAATACAGAAATAACCATTTACAGGGTTCTATGACAAACCTCCAGGATAAAGTCTTTCATATGAACCAGACAATAAAAGGTACTCAGTTCCTAAGCTTCTTTGACTCTCCTGGTTCTGTTTTGTTTTCGTTCCCTACCTGAGGTGTGCATGTACTGGCTGCACTGCACTTACCTGTCTTCCATCCACCATCTGAACAAATCCACCTCATAACATCCTTCCCCCTGAGCATCAATAAACGACTTTCTGAGACTAATAACTGACCAGGACCTCTGCCAATAGCCTGACATGCAGTCTTTGAAGTCAATGTATTGATGTCCTAAATAGCTTTATCGGTTTACCAGATTTCTGCCAGCACAAGCCTTTTGAAAATGAAGCACTACCACACACACACAGCAGAGCCCACAGAACAAGCTGCTGTCTCCTCTCCTGAGCAAATCTCACGGTGTGGTTGTACGATTTTTGTCTGCACAATTATTCAGTACACTCCAAACAAATTATACCTTTTGCCTTGAAACCTTTTGACAGAGTCTCTGTCAGCTTTCAGAAATGTTTTAACAGGAGAAAAGTGAAAAGAGAGAGAATCAGCACTCCTATCTCAAAGCAGTGCTTTGACACCTGAATATATTATATCTGTGCACATCAACTAATTTCAACACAGTAAGATTTACAGGTACAGCAGGTATTTTCCACTGCCAACTATAGAGCAGTAATGAAAAAAGAGCCAAGGAATCCTTCTGGGTTGGAGAGATGAAGGACTTGTAACAGGTTTATCTGATAGGGAAGCTAAGACCTCTGTGTTGAGCTCTGAAGGATGCACATAGATTTTCCAAATCTGGGCATTAATTGTAGAAAAAAAAAAAACTGAACTAAACTGATGCAAAGGCCTTCCCACACTGCTCATTCCTTCACTGCCTGTGCACATGTACAGCAGGAGTAAAAAAGAGTAAGGCTATAGCCTCTAAGGGCAGCACACAGCCAGCAAAACCTCCCAGGGATCAGAAAGCACTGTTCAAAAAGCACAGGATGGGATAAGTTTTCTACTAAAAAAAAAAAATTATTTTAAAAGTGAAGTAACTGTCCGAGACTTTCATTGGAAAGAGATGACTGGATAATAAGTCATCAGAAGAATTCATTATGTTTTAGTTACCCTTTTGCCTTCTCTTTTCAGTTAGGAATACACTAAGGAATCTGCTCCAGTAAAAAATCTCAAGAACACAGCAATGAAAAACAGACATACACAGAACGTGCATAATGGACAAAATTTAAGCAAGGTTCACAGCAAACAGCTAAAAATCTTATCTTCTGAGGTAAGAATACAGAAAAGATTATTTTAAGCAAATGTTATTGTTTTAATGTAAAAGATGGTGAAGTTATTAGCACTCTTCCTAAGCACCTCTATTTTACAATTACTATTTGCTATTTCTATGAATGGAAAAAAAGGAAAAAAAAGGGGGAAAAAAAGGAAAAAAAAGTGACTGACTGCCATTTTTAGATCTATGAGGAAAGCCATACTTCCAAGATCATTTAACTAGCACTCTATTTAAATGTCCTCTTGAAAACCAAAGAAAAAACACAAGCAGGAGTATGAACTCCTCATGAGGATCCCATCCCACCCATACCCAAACCCAATCAAAAGTGAGAGGGGAATAAGTGAAATCCCTCAAAAAGATACACAGCTAAAATGCACGACAAAACACCCAGCGTTCTTTCCTGCAATGTAAATATTAACATTTTAATATTCAGACAGACATGATTTCTTCAGTGAGCAGCCTCACCAGAAGGCACAGACTGCATACATATCCACACAGATTCGGTTCTCATGGGTTCTGATATTTTCCGATTGGCAAGGCATTAATATCTGCCACTGAGGTGTTCAGTGAGTTAAACCACTGCACCAGCAAGTCAGGCACTTGGAAATTTCCAATTCTTGTATGGATCTGAGTGGTTTTGTACACTATTGGACCTGGGAGAGGGATCCTGCATACAAGGTAACGAATTAAGAATAAGCTGTACTGGTAAGGAGAAGTGCTGGTGAGTCTGGAGGCTTTAAAAATTAGATAGAGTGGCAGTATGATATACTTCTGGGTCTTTACCAGCATCCTTTAATTCAGCTCTGATTACAACTTATCTTAAATTGAATTTAAAAAGCAAACAGACTTTTTTCTTTTTTTTTTCCTTTTTTTTTTTTAATTTGGGCATTAACAGATGGTCTCTCTTGTGCCACAAAGAAGATACAAAGATGAGGAGTAAAACAACCCTTGCCGTATCTGCCATCTCCATTTCTTTACCGTGTCATCTTACACATCAGAACAAGTGTCTTACTTCTATGTCCGTGTACACAACGGTTTGGGCACTGGATTAATTAACTATTTCATGCAACATGAAAGGTCAACTCTTATCACCAAAACTACAGGCGCTTCATTTTAAGCGACTTTTTAAAAGTGCTATAAGAAAGCACACTACATAAAATTTCCATGGGTAAGGGACAAGTCAAACGCAGCCAGCCTTCCTCATGATTTATTATAATGAGTGTTTTTTTCCATGCCAACTTACTTCCTACACTGAATAAGGGAACAAATTGTTTCTTACATAGTTCTTTAATAGCCGCTTCCTTGCACATAAAACTGGTGAATGCACAGTGGAAACACACACTGTTTCCAGTAAGTTACTGAAGAGACTGTTGTATTTTTCTGAGCAATGTAAACCAACTGTACATATAATATTAGGAGAAAACAGTTGGAAGAATTTCTCACAGGACTGACATTTTGCTACGCACTGCAGCCAAGAGATGACCTTTGGCAAGGGCTTCACTTGAATAGGGAAAACATTTACTCTGAATAAACAAAGCCCATGTGTAAGCCTTGAATTCATAGATTCAAACCACCACCATTGCTTCGACACAAAAGTGTTAAGAAACCGAAGGAGCCAGCCAAATGACAGTAAAATATCCATCCCTTAACAGTATTGAATTTAACTACTTTTGAAATCTCAAAAAAGAGTTTCAATTGTGCTTCCATCAAAGCTAATGGCAAAATATCACTGCCCTCACCAATGCCAAGCCCAGGTCACTGAATTTCTCAAAGCTGCTCTCATTAACAAGCAATCCACCCAGTCTGAGTACACCAATGCAGGAGGAAAATAAAGGATGTTATCTGGCTTTTAAGCATCCTTTCCCTATTTTCATACCTAACCCAGGCAAGAGACCTCACTGAAAGCAAAAATTCACAGGCAATTAAAACTACTTCAGTGATTAATGATCTGATTTTTACAAGTAAATGCATGAAGTAAGAACCATTCCTGGATTACACAAAAGGAACAATCTACTGCAGTCAAAACAAACACAGGATTTAAAATGTCTTCTGTACTATGAAAGGACATGAACTTAATTGAGTTATTTTAGAAAGATTCCAGACACTTTTCAACAAAACTATCCTCTTGCATTAAGTATCCAAAATTTAAGAAAAGATTTAAAATTTAAATTTAAAAAAAGAAAATCATAAGGGAAGTCTGAATCACTGGGATTTGGAAGATATAAAAGTTCTGTAAGATAACATTATATACCTCCATGGAAAGAATGAGTTCCACAGCAGATGGAAAAATAACACGTTGTTAAGAGAGCCCATACTACCAAAAGCCACATGAGAAACAGTAAATATAAGAAATACACAACTCCAAACCACAAAGCTAAATAAACACATCCAAAACATGCATCACCATCATTGTTAGACATCAGAGATAAAAGGTATCTTACTGAGTGTTTCATGATCATGCAAGTTAAGGATGAACACAGAAGCCTAGTTAACATCATCGCTCCAGAAGATACACCAAGCTCATCTGGCTTCTTTTACAGTTTGGATCCTTCCAGATGGCCAAGGATTTTGTCACTGAGAACAACAGGAGAGGGATCATACTCATACTGTATGCTTCAGCTTTCCCTTTGTATTTATCTACTTAAAGACAAAAAGCAAAAAGAAATCCCAAACCACTTACGATACGTAATTCACATCAAGGGACGAGAGTTCTAACACACTATTGGTGCTGCAAAGGTGACTTCTAAGACTCAGGTAAGAATTTTTTCTTTTCCCCAAGGCTACTTTACATTTTACACTGTAAACACAGCGTTTTTATAATATCACCACATTCTGATAATAAAAGAATGCAATCGAGAAGTGTGCATTCTTTTTCCATATTTATGAAGAACACATGCTTTCCAAAACGAAAAACACGCAATTTAAACTGTATCAATTTATTAAATGATCTGTCAAGAATATGTTTTGATTCCAAAAAAGCCCATGAAAACTGAAAATTGCTCAGGACCAATAAAACAATTCAAGCCCCCAAGTAATTCTACCCCACAAGTAATATACTGCTCAGCATGGGGCACTCTGTGCTGGGTTAAGAACTGGCTGGAGGGCCGGGCCCAGAGAGTGCTGGTGAACGGGGCTGCATCCAGCTGGCGGCCGGTCACCAGTGGTGTCCCCCAGGGATCAGTGCTGGGCCCAGTCCTGTCTAACATCTTTACTGATGGTTTAGATGAGGGGATTGAGTGTACCATTAACAAATTTATAGATGATACCAAGCTGTGGGGGGAGTGTTGATCAGCTGGAAGGCAGGAGGGCTCTGCAGAGGGACCTGGACAGGCTGGAGAGTTGGGCTGATTCCAACGGGATGAAATTCCACAAGGCCAAGTGCCGGGTCCTGCACTTTGGCCACAACAACCCCTGCAGCGCTACAGGCTGGGCACAGAGTGGTTGGAGAGCAGCCAGGTGGAAAGGGACCTGGGAGTTTGGATGGACAGGAAGCTGAACATGAGCCAGCAGTGTGCCCAGGTGGCCAAGAAGGCCAATGGCCTGGATTAGGAACAGTGTGACAAACAGGTCCAGGGAAGTGATTTTTCCCCTGTACTCAGCACTGGTGAGGCCACACCTTGAGTATTGTGTTCAGTTCTGGGCCCCTCAGATCAGGAAGGTGCTGGAGCAGGTCCAGAGAAGAACAACCAGGCTGGTGAAGGGACTGGAGCACAAGTCCTGTGAGGAGAGGCTGAGGGAGCTGGGATTGTTTAGTCTGGAGAAGAGAAGGCTCAGGGGAGACCTCATCACTCTCTTCAACTACCTGAAAGGAGGTTGTAGCCAGGTGGGGGTCGGTCTCTTC